TATGAGAAGAACATTTATCATAAGGCTTGTAACTGTTTGCTCAATTTGGAAAATAACCAGGCCAGCTTAAAGACAAACAATTATATTTTTAATAGTTATAAGGGGAAACTCACGCCACAAGAATGAGAAGTCCGAGTTCCGCTGTGTCCCGCGGGAATCACCCAGAGAGAGCGCACCTGGTCCACCCTAGTTTTCTTCCTGGGCTCCAGGTAGCCACGCCTTAACTAGGTTCCACTTTTTAAAGGTGATTGGTTAACAGAGCTTCCCCTCATCAAAGGCTAGCCCTCTTAAAATATCAAGTGCATGAACAGAACAGCGTCTCTACCCACAGGCACAGTGCTGCCCTGAATGCAGACATTTTCATCACCGATGCATGATGCCCAGTGAACGTCTCTCCTCCCCATTCCCCTCTATGTCCCACCCTGGAAAATGCATTCCTACCCCGCACCAATGAGCTTACTTGTTTTAACCACCTCACATAAGTACAAGTACACAATAAGAAGCAATTTTCACTTTGTGGCATAGAAACACAAAGAAGTAAAAATCATTACAGTGAAAAACAGCTGGTGACTTACCGACCTGGTTTCAAGATTAGTAACAGAACAGCAGTGGGGTATTAGTGGGAGGCAGCCATCGACGGAATAAAGTCGGAATACATCCAGATGAGTTAACAAGTTGACTTTTTTCCTTCAAATGACTATTTCTCGGGGTTGGGGGCGGTGGAAGAACTCACTTGTAGACAGCAGGAAAAATCCTTGATTTGCCTAGCGACATGGTCAACAGTTGGGTTGCAGAATGGCTGGACAGGAATCTCAAGTCTGGTTGGAACTTTCTACCTGTTGATGATGGTGGTATTTAGGCAGGCTTGACTTTTGCTTCCACAGTCCTTTGATCAGGATATAAGTCTTGCACAGAAAGCATATTGTAATTACATTTGTTTCTTTAAATGGTTTTGTGAGACAGACCCTCCTATAGGCCAGGTTGGTTTGACCGCATGGTCGTCTGCTTCTGCCCACAGAGAGGGCTGGAATTACAGGTATGGGCCACCAACCCCATTTTCAGTGAGGATGATTTCTGCAGGTAGACATCCAAGAATGACTAATTTTGTCCTTTTATTTTTTTTATAGCAAGTAGGACACATGATGACCTCTTTCAAGTTCTAAAATGTGTATTTTCTTGGAGGCTTTTTGGGATCTTGTAAGTTACCAAATAACTGCATTTTACCAATTCACTGGAGTTTTAAAATACTAGACAAAAAAAAAGCACTTCTAAGGAGAAGTGTCCCCATTAACAGACAGATGAGGACATTAAGACAATTGTCCTCCAAATTTAATCCACTTGGAAACATTCAATAAATTTGATATGATGGCTGCTTACTATAGAAGGAGTATTGGCGGAGTCTGAAACTAACTTAAGACTGTAGGAACTGAGCTGAGACACTGAAGCAAGTATAGGATATACTTCTCTGAAGAAACACAAAAGCAGGAAGTCCCCCCATTACTTCGTCAGTGTTCAGAACCTAAATAAACAGGTAAGAGCTCTTGGGATTTGTTGTAAAACTAAAGAATTAAACATACAATGTTAAATATATCCACCTAGATTTATACTTAATACTACTGTCATGTGATTCAATATATTAACTTTGATAATACAATAGCTTTTTTTTTTTTTTTTGCTGTGCTCTTAAATTAGGTCTTTGGTTCTGTCTCCACCTAGTGGACATTTTGGTCTTTTTCCTTAAACTACAAAGAGGATAAACCAAGTACCCCATTTTTACAATTAAAATAACATATTGTATACTTTTTTTAACCAATAATTTATACACAAAAGAATTTGAAGTGGCATACACATATTGTGATTGGAAATTTTAAGAGACAAAGCCATAGAAGAGAAAAGAAATAAGCTACCTAAATTAATGCAGCTACTGCAACCAAAATTTACCTCCAGGTTTTTGATGTTGGGGAAAAGAGGAAACAAGAATTGTGTGATTCCTTATTATTTAATCAAATAAATGACATTGTTTTTTATGAGTAAAATTTCAAACAAGCTTTTGTTTTATAACTAAAATATAAAATTAAAATATAAAATTATATATAAAATATAAAATGCTTAATTGTTAGCTTGTGGAGATATACCATACACACAACAAAGTTTAGAAACCTTGACAAAATGTACAAACCTTGTAGCTACCCTCAGATCAAGGTGCAGAATACAGCTGGGGTCCCTAAAACCTGCTTTACATCCCTCGGTGTTTCCTTAAAGCTAGCCACTATTTTTACCTCATCGTCTTTATTTTTACTACACCATTGAATAATTTACAATGTCCAACATCATATCTGAGGAATTCTCCCACGTTTCTACATAAAGGAGTTTGTGCTTTTTCCTTGTGAACACATGATTAACAAACAGGTCACCTTGTTTCTGATTCCTTTACGAGTCTTTGGGGCTCTGGTGAATGGTGTCGCTGGGAGCACTCTACTGTGTGGCTTTGGTGCCCTGCTCCACAGTTTAGTACATGTCTGATGTCTGTGATATTAGAACATTCCTCTTTAGTAAAAGCAGGAAAAACAGCTCTTCAAATTAGTCACATAAATTTACACTTCCGTTTTTGACAGACTCGCACTGTGCTGCCCCAGCTGGTCACAAACACTCCTGCCTAAACCTCCCTGGCCAGCTGAGGCGGCACTCAACACTAAAGGATGAGAGCCCAGCTGCCATGTGCCCTCCAACCGTTGCCACTGTTCCAGAAACCGTTTCCTGTTTGTTGGTTTAGCAACCAGGCTAGCGTGGGGGAGGTAACGGCTCCTTGCTGCTTCCATTGCTTGGCCTGGTGACAAATGTGGGGGACAGTGTCTCAGTGTCAGTCAGCTGTTGGGATCTCTTCTGTCGTGTCTGTCTGTCTTCCCCCCATGCTCTACTGAGTTCCATACCCTACTCACACTGATCTGTGAGACTTCTTTATAGGTCCTGATTATTTATTAGCTAATGTGTTTCGAAAATGTTCTCCCAGTCTGTGACTTAACCCCTACATTCTTTTTTTAAATTAATTAATTAATTTATTTATTAATTAAAGATTTCTGCCTCCTCCCCTCCACCGCCTCCCATATCTCTCCCCCTCCCCCAATCAAGTCCCACTCCCTCATCAGCCTGAAGAGCAGTCCGGGTTCCCTGCCTTGTGGGAAGTCCAGGGACCTTCCCACCTCCTTCCAGGTCTAGTAAGGTGAGCATCCAAACTGCCTAGGCTCCCACAAAGCCAGTACGTGTAGTAGGATCAAAACACAGTGTCATTGTTCTTGAGTTCTCAGCAGTCCTCATTGTCTGCTATGTTCAGCGAGTCCAGTTTTATCCCATGCTTTTTCAGACCCAGTCCAGTGACTTTAATCAAGAGATTATCTTAATTTTTATGTTCTCTAACTTAATGTTTTCTTTTGATTTATGCCTTTTATTGCTTACATAGGAAATTGTTCCCAACACCCAGGTTGTGACCATGTTCAATGGATACCACCTAGAAGCCTTGGCCTTCCCTTTATGACTACGACCATCTAATCTGCTGCCTGTGTTTACTATACGCCAGAAGTCAAGGTTCAGGGTTTTCTTCCAGATGCACATCCAATTTATATAATACCCGTGCCCAGAAGGTTCTTCTCTCTCAGTAGCACCCCACACCCACACCCACTTTTGTTTATATCTGGTGCTAGTACATGATTAAGTCAGTTTCGAGACTATTCTAAATCCCACCAATGTGGTTTAATGGTTACAAACACGAAATTAACAACCAAGAATAAAAGCGGGGGCTGGGCGTTGGTGGTGCACAAACTCGGGAGGCAGAGGCAAGTGAATGTCTGGGCGCAAGAAATGGCAGGTATGGGGGGCTGGAGAAATGGCTCATCGGTTAAGAGCATTGCCTGCTCTTCCAGAGGTCCTGAGTTCAATTCCCAGCGACCACATGGTGGCTCACAACCATCTGTAATGAGGTCTGGTGCCCTCTTCTGGCCTTCAGGCATACACACAGACAGAACATTGTATACATAATAAATAAATATTTTTTTAAAAAAAGGAAATGGCAGGTGTGCAGGGCACTCGTGTGCAAAGGTTTGTTCTGGAATTTAAAGATCGAAGACGGCGGGCGTGGTGGCACACGTCCTTAACCCGAGCGCTTGGGAGGTAGGTGGACCTCTTGTGAGTTCAAGGTCAACCTAGTCTACAAAGAGAGTTCCAAGACGGCTAGGGCTACACAGGGAATCCCTGTCTCAAACAAACAGACAAACAAAGAAGAAAACAACAACAAAAACCGGAAGAATAAAAGTGGTTGCAACTGAGATTCAGTGAAGACAGACATATTGGGGTGGGGAGTGGAGGCGGAGCAGGGGGCGGGTGGAGTGTATCCTGAATTTGTTAAAAGCCTTATCGAATTGTTTAACTTTCTAAAAAAGTAATGCAACTTTTTAATGACTTCAAAAAAACAAAAACAAAAAGCGGAGATAACCGCTGCTTCAAACAAACTCGATTTTCTGACTCATTTTCCCAATTCTGTAGGTTCGTCACCTGTAAAATCGGTGACTTTGTGCGCTGACATAGACAGTGGGTATCGAAGTCGTAAACTACAGTCAGTTGTTTGGTAACTTACAGCTCCTAAATTGTGAATTTATAGCAGGGAATCACCGGTCCCGGGCCTGTGGTCCATCCCAGCACTCAGACCTTCCCTGTCCCAGCTGGTGACCAATTCTTGGGGCTTTGGAGCAGACTTTGCTGAGTCATACCCCAGTTTTGTGGCCTTGGACACTTTCCCAAAACTTTGTGACTCTCGGTTTCCCAGTCACACAACGGAAGCACCTCTCTTGAGAAGCTGGGTCCTTTGAGTGGGTCTGTATCTAAGGAGTCGCAGCGCCTGACTGCACGCGGTGTGTCACCGTCACTCGGGTCCTAGGAGAAGTTAGCAGAGCCCTGGAGGCCCGGAGCATCCGCGGTCACTATGGCAACCTCAGACGCCTCGCGTTCCAGAGCAGCCGGTGGCGGAGTTGAGAGGCCTGGTGGGCCTGGGCCAGAGAGACCCCAGTGGCATGAGGAGGCAGGAGGCGCTGGTGGGGACGGCAGGGACCGCAGCGGAGGCGGGCCGCGAAGGGGAGCAGCCTAGGCCCCCAGGGCTGGGTCGTACTGGCGGCCCCCAAGAGCCCCGCCAACCATGTAAGTTCAGCTCCAGTTTCAGGCTGTGGCCGTGGGGCCCTGGGGCTGTGGGGCTGTGGGGATCAGTGACAAGGCTGAGGACCCCAGGGAGGAACTGGATGGAGACCTGAAGATTTCTAGGGAAGGGGTGGAGAGCCGCTGTTTGGCAAAGACAGAGATAAAGGCACTGGCAGAAAGCACCCCTGATCTCTTCAGGCCAAGGGTGTAGAAGGAAGTCTTTTCCCCTTCATCACGGACTCCTGAACCCAAGCACTGGATATCACCTTCACCTGAAGATGGTTCATGAAGGCATTGATTTTTAAAGGGACCGTGAGCGCCCTAACACAGCTGTCAGGAATGATGGGTGAAAACAGGGCCAAGGAGGAATGCGAGCAGTTTCCCAGGTTATGCTCAGAGCCTCTTTGATTGCCTCTCTGGTGAGGGAGCCTCCACCAGATGCTCTATCTAATCCCTAGAGGCAACCAAGGAGGGGGGTGTCATTCCCCAGGTTCCATCCAAGTTTTATTGCTGATCTGAAAGTTTTTCTGCAGGACAGGCTAGACTGGCTGAACGACAGGCTGACTGGCTGGCCAGTGAGCTCCAGGGATCAATATGCATGCCGCCACACCAGGCTTTTCTTAACATAAAACATAAACAGTTATTCTCACCCGCAGGTGACTGTGAGAAAAAGAAACACAAGTAAAATGCTTAGGTTAAAAAAAAAAATCAGTATCAACTGTTGTTAGAGGTCAACAAGCCTGCCAAACCTTACTCCAAAACAAAGCCCAGAGCTACAGAGGTCTCTGCAGCCCTTCCCCCCTGCCCCGCTGTCCTGCACATGACAGCTTGGTAACCAAATCAGTGGAGCAGCTCAGGCAGTGTGTGGACTTCTCTGCCTTTTTCTTCTTTTCTCTGTCTCCTGTCCCTCTCCCTCCCACCTGCCCTTTCTCCTTCCACAGTTTGCTCTGTGGATTCCCTGACTGCCACACTGCAGTCTGCCAAGGGGCAGGCAGTTCTCTCTGTGCCACGGTATCGACTTAGCCTCCTTCCCTGTCAAGCCATTTCCTGTGAAGGTCATGATTATTCAGAGAAAGTCTAAAACAGGATAAAGTAAGGCTGCTTTCTACTCCCATGAACCCCAACCTTTAGGAAACAAGAATAAGAACCCAGACGTGTCTGGTTGTGCCTTTTCTGAGTCTTCACCATCAGAAATGGGGCAGGGTTACTACCCAAAGAGCTTGTCACCTTTGGGCCAGTCTGCACTCAGGACAAGTACACTTCTGCTCTCTGTTGGTAAACTGGGAACAAGAGGAGATGCCTGCCATATCTTTGTGAGATTAACATCAAATCTTAAATATCTAAAGACTTGGCTTGAGTTCTCCATGGCTCCTTGAGTTGTGACAGGAAGCCCTTGTTCTCTGGTGGTTGAAAGGCTGTGTGGACAGACAGGTATGCAGCAGCTGTTCTACCTCAGCACACCTCTGCTGCCCATCCCTTACGCCAAACTCGGCTCTAATATTCCAACGGGTATAAGAGAAGGACTTCTGCCTTTATGTATTGATGGCTGGCTTTAAGAGACAGATGTTAAGCCACCATTAAACAGTAATTGTATGCAAATATGCAAATGAAACATTAAATGAAACAAATGAGGAGAGAAAGGCTACTAGGCAAAAAAGAAAGAAAAAAAAAGAAAGAAAGAAAGAAAGAAAGAAAGAAAGAGACAGTCCTAGGCTGCAGAGCAGGGACTGCTTCTCCAGGAACTGAATGCAGTAAAGCAAGAGGGGCAGTTACTTCAGCAAAAACTCAGGAGAGAGACTGGTCAGGGAGAGGGGACATGCAAAGGTGGGGTCAGGTGGCAATGGGCGCTGAGCACAGAGAAGCCAACAGTGAAGTCAGTCTGAAGACACATCCCAGGTGCTTTTAGGGTTCTGTTCTCTGGAGAGCGCAGAAAGAATGCCGCAAGGCACCGGGGGAAAAAGGCCAGTCCCGGGCTAGGGCAGCAGTGAGAGATGGTGCTAGCTTTAGAGGCCACAGAAAATCCTGGACCTTAATCTGTGGTTAATGTCTATGGATCTAATCTCTTGTTTATTTTCAGATTAATTTTATTATTTGTTAGTGTGTGTGTGTGTGTGTGTGTGTGTGTGTGTGTGTGTGAGAGAGAGAGAGAGAGAGAGAGACCACAGTGTCCAGAAAAGGGTATTGGGTCCTCAGGAGCTGGAGTTCCAGGCTGCTGTAAGCCTCCCTGTTGGTGTCAGAAACAGAATTCCAGTTCTCTGCAGGAGCAGCAAGCACTTGGTTGATGAGTCATCAGTTGTAATCTTAGAGAAGGAAAGCTAGGGATGCCACGGAGGTGAGACTGGGGAGGGTGGCCTAAACACTTGCTGTGCAAGCGTGGGAAGACTGAAATCTGAGTGTGCTCTCACCTCCACATACATGCTGGAGCATATTGATGTTATACACACACGCACGCATGCACGCATGCACACACACACACATATGCACGTGCATGCGCATGCACACAAACACACACGCACACACACATCTGTACTGTACTTGTTTTTTGGGTTTTTATTTTTTATTTTTTTTTTGGTTTTTCGAGACAGGGTTTCTCTGTGGTTTTGGTTCCTGTCTAGGAACTAGCTCTTGTAGACCAGGCTGGTCTCGAACTCACAGAGATCCGCCTGCCTCTGCCTCCCAAGTGCTGGGATTAAAGGCGTGTGCCACCACCGCCCGGCTCACACATCTGTACTGTAAGATCCAGACACAGATCTGTCTTACCCTTTGCTCTTTCCTCATCTGATGGAGGAGGGTCATCTGTCTATGTGTTACTTTCATTGGTTAATAAAGAAACTGCCTTGGCTTTTTGATAGGGCAGGATTTAGATAGGTGGAGTAGACAGAATAGAATGCTGGGAGGAAGAAGGCAATGAGGTAGTCGCCACGATTCTCCAACCTGAGATGGACGTAGGCTAGAATCTTTCCCCGGTAAGCCATCACCTCATGGTGCTATGCTACACAGATTATTAGAAATGGGTTAAGCAAGATATGAGAATTAGCCATTAAGAGGCTGGAACTAATGTGCCAGGCAGTGTTTAAATGAATACAATTTGTGTGTTGTTATTTCGGGTGTAAAGCTAGCTGTGTGAGAGCCAGGACGAAAAGCAGGCCTGCTCGCCTCATCACTACACTCATCCCCAAAGGAAATGTCAGGAACAGAGTAGTCTTTAACCAACAGTCACATGGTGGTGCATGCCTGTAATTGCAACACCAGGAGGCTGAGGCAAGATGGTCTCAGGTTCTACAGCAGGCTGGGAAACACAGGAGGACTTTGTCCCAAAACAAAGCCAACATCCAGCCCCAGACCCTTTCCTTATTGACAATTGAAAGTTCATGGAGGTCATGAGGATGTTTCATATATTTCCTCATCATACCTAAGAGACAGCCCTGAAGCTTACTCTACACCCTCAGGAATTACATGGAAGTATGAAGTCCTCCAAAGCAGAAGTTGTGACAAAAGAGATCATCTCAAGAAAGAGTCTGCAGGGCAAGCTGTCTGCTGTCTTTAAGGGATGACAGGCCAGTTTTCAGAAAGTTATTCATATAGGAATAAGTGCTGGAAGGCTGGGCAGGGTTGGTGATAAGTCAATTGTGAATACCTTTCCAGGGAAGACATTTTTATACTGCGAGCCCCATAAGAGAATCAAGGAGGTTTTGGAAGAAGAACTTTCCATCAAGAGGGATGAGTGCCACGTGAAAAGCCCACCTGCAGGTAATCTTAGCCACAAGGAAGTACATTTGATAAATGACTATGAGTTTGTTTATTTGACGGCAGGATGGTTAATTTATTTGTGATGAAATGATAACTTACATCAAGAGAAGAATGTTCTTGGGAAATCATAAAACTTTTTTTTGCCTTTGTCTGATGGCAGGGTGGTTAATTTATTTGTGATGAAATGATAACTTACATCAAGAGAAGAATGTTCTTGGGAAATCATAAAACTTTTTTTTGCCTTTGTCCAAATATAGCACTATGTAGTGGAAAGTGAATTAGATCTTCAATACATGTTTTGCTGTCCATACTTGTGAAGGGCGTTCTTTCTAATTAATAGTAAGTAAGTAGAACGTTTGCACAAGCCTGAGACACACAGTAACACTTCAGATCATCAACACTGATCTGCAGGGGGAAACAGGGGTTCCCAAATGTTACATTGTTTCGCTTACCCAGGAGCGTGTTAAAGCAGCTTCCTGGCGGGGGAAGCCTTGAGTTCCCAGGTGATTGGCATTACTCCTCAGAGACCCTCCCTGCCAACACTGTTCGGGCAGTGTGAGCCACTGAACTAGGTCAGATCTCTCAGGGATCTCATTTTAGAAAAACACAGTTCATGAGTGACGCAACTGGTCACTGATAGCTCTCGGGATAGTTCATGTGACGCCCACACTTCCTCACAGACATCATTCTCAGATGACTGGCACCTCGTGTCTATGATTCCTTTTCAGCCAGGATCACTGAGAGACTGTTTCCAGTCTTTCAAATAATCAGGCTTTCATTACAATGTTAATGGGGCCCTGAATTTGCTAGAGAAGATACCTAGATCAGCAAGGTGGGGTCAAGCACCTGCTGTGAAAGAAAGCCTATTGTCCTTGGAAGTTCAGTCCCTGGAACCCACAATCCCTAAAGTTCCTGCATGGTCCTGGTATACAAAACCCTGGCAAAAGTGACGTCAGCGGAGGAGGCTTACATAACTCTCAGTTCTGAGTCAGTTCACAGTGAGGACATCAAGGCAGGAACTTGAAGCAGCTAGACACATCCACAGTCAAGAGCAGAGAGAGAAAGAGCATGCATGCATGCCCACTGCTCAGCTTGCCCTCTGTGGTTTAGTCTAGGACCCTAAGCCCAGGGGATGATGTTTTCCAGCGTGTGGCTGGGTCTTAGCATAATCAAGACTATCTTCCACCAACATAAAATCAGGTTAACCTGATTTTAACAGTCCCTCATTGAGACTCTTCTAGGCGATTCTAGGTTTTGTAGAGTTGACAATTAGAGCTAATCATTACACCATATAAAGGTGGAGAGAGAACCAACTCCTCAAAGCTGTCCTGTGCTCCTCATGCTGCAGACATACACCCACCATACACACATACCATACCAATAAAAAGTAAAATAAATGAAAGAATCATGAACCTCGGACTCTAGGGTTCGGAGACCTGCTTGTCTTCTGAGTGGACTGTTCTGGGAGGTGGGGCCCAGTCCCTTTAGGAGTTTCTAAGAAGAGATGCTGGCAACCTCAAGGCATATCATCCAGACTCCAGCCCATTTACGTTTCTAAGTAGCCGTAGTGTTTACTTTGGGACTGACTGTATCACCAATGACACAGTGCATCTTCAAGAAAAGCTTGGCGTCTACTCTCCACGCTGTGAATAGATGTAGAACGACCTGCCCAGCCTATGTGCACTATGTTCTTGGTGATTAAGCAACTTTTTCCCGAGTTATTATAATAGTTTGGAATCAGCTTCATTGTTTTTAAGGACCACATAGAAGCTAAATAACGTATTTGCCATTCTCTGATGAGGAACAAGTGTTGTATCTTTCTTACTGAGTGCATTTGACTGTGAGACAGCCTAAGAGAAAAGGAAATAAATATTCATTTTTCTCAGTATTTTCAAATATTCACTTAGCATTCTGCTGTCTGGGTTGCATTTTTTTTTTTTTTTTTTTTTTTTTGGTTTTTCGAGACAGGGTTTCTCTATGGTTTTGGAGCCTGTCCTGGAACTAGCTCTTGTAGACCAGGCTGGCCTCGAACTCACAGAGATCCGCCTGCCTCTGCCTCCCAAGTGCTGGGATTAAAGGCCTGCGCCACCACTGCCCGGCTGTCTGGGTTGCATTTTTATAGCACCCAACAGAGGGCACCCAAAGGGATTATTTTACCTAGAAAACTTTCTGAATGTTTTAAAGGGTGCCTCCAGGATAGGGAACTAGCACCCAGAGAGGGTGACAAACTCTTCCTGCCTGGCAGCAGTGTGGGCAGCCCCTAACTAGCCACTGGGCCTTCTAGCAGGGAGTGCAGGGTCACTGGTCTTTAAATTTCCGACAACAGCTGTAGCTACTGCTTCCCAAAGACACACATCGTCACAGCAACCCAGATTCTGCATCCAGCTTCCAAGTATGCAGTAGGAGCTCTCTGTGGATGCTAGGAGTGAGTGCACGGGGCAGGTTGCCTCGAGCTGGTACTCATCCTTTGGTCCTCCTCCTCCCTGTTGTCAGTACACTGTGGTCCCCGAGAGTTTGGAAACATTTCCAGATAGCAGATAACTTCTAACGGCCAAGGCCTGTGGCTCCTCACGATGTAGCTGCTTAGTGGTGTGTGGCACATGCGTCTCCTTTTTTCCCCTGAAAGCTTCAAGATGGCCTCAAGGACAACAAGCCCCACTCCCCTGGCTCTGCTTCTTTCTCTTTGGCCACCTTTTCTCCCTAACTTCCTGCCTCCACTTGTCCTCCATAATATTAATAACTCACCCACCCACCCCACTTTTTTCAAGGCAGGCTCTCTATATATAATTCCGGCTGTCCTGGAACTCTCTGTGTAGCCCAGGCCTGGCCTCAAGCTCACTGAGATCCTCCTGCCGCTGCCTCTTGTGTGAGCCACTTCTCTCATCATTCCGGTCTTTTTCTCCGTCTATTACATATGACCCTACAATGATAACCACCCCAAAATGTACCATTTCTAGCTTTTCTCTTGCCCTTCTCATACCTTGGAGCCTCTGTGGCTTTGCAAATGGATGTCTGGTTGCGCTGGTGGGATAGTGGTGAGTGTGACTGCCTTCCAGGTCTGATTGACCTCCCTGAGTTAACACACCCCAAAGAGAGCTCTCATTTTGTACGCAGACATCTTTTTAACCCACTCTTCAGGGGCTTCCCACATCAAGAAATATCTCACAGTCCACCTACCTGATTAGGGCAGCATTTAGAAGCCAGGTCCTCAAGCTCCATTCCAGACAACTGGCTGAGTCTGCTCACTCTGGTGTGAAAGAACCCCAAGTTTCCCCATCTGTGCCCTTCACGCCTCCATCTTCCTCCTCCCCATCTCAAGCTCAGCAACAGCATTTGTAGCTACTTCCACTGTGGTCTCCTCAGTCTGTTTTCCAAGATGAAGCATGTCACGTACACACTCAAACCTCTACAGTGTCTTTTTACTGTTTAAAATTAAATTCTATCAATTGGAAGGTAGAGGCAGGATGATCAGCAGGTGAAGGGCGTCTTTGGCTAAATCACAAGTTCAAGGCCAACCTGGACTACAGAATACCCATCTCAAAAAGCTGAAACAAGCAAACACTGGAGTAAATCACATTCTCCTGCTCACTGGGTCCTGAGAGATTTTTAGAAGGTCTAGATTTATGCAGTGAGTGGCAGACTCAGACTCCAAATTCAAGTCTGACTCCAAACCCCTTGTCTTTCTACTCAGGATGGTGTCTCTGGTGACACACAGTCAAGCCCAGCAGGGATTGGGCCATTCTCACTGACTGAGAGTTCCATGTTTAATGTGCCTGACAGTTCTTCTCCAGACTCCATGATACTAAGCTATTCTGGCTTTCTCCCTGGAACACCTTGTTGTTGTTGTTGTTCCTTAAGAACTCTTGCTCCCCGCTTTGCCCAGCCTTTGAGTTATCCACGATGATGCCCACCATCTTTGAATCTTGTCCCATTAGCATTAGCTCTCTCTGAGTTCCTCCACCGCGATCTTACTAGAACACACCTGACCTTTGTGTCTCTAGGACACACCTGACCTTCATGTCTCTAGGCTCACTGTATCCTGAGTGTCTCTTAAACACTCAGGATCAACCAAGTCTAGAACAAAACTCTTCCCCTTAACCCCACCCCACCTGACCATTTTACTCCTCCCCCTGCATCAGTATTCACCAAATGACAGGGCCGCTCCAAAATCCCCTCTCTCTGCAGGCAGCCATAACTTATATCTAACAAGGCTTAGTTTGGATTAAGATCTCAAATCATTGAACATATGCCAAGTTTACCCTTCAAATATTCTATTTTTCTCTGTAGCATATACTTTATCAGTACCAGTTGTCAACATTAAAAAAAGTCAGGCCCATGCCTGTAATCCAAATACTTTATTTTATTGATATTTATTGAGCTCTACATTTTTTTCTCTGCTCCCCTCCCTGCCTCTCCGCTCCCCCCTTCAATCCTTCCCCAAGGTCCCCATGCTCCCAATTTACTCAGGAGATCTTGTCTTTTCTACTTTCTATTTCCTATGTAGATTAGATCTATATAAGTCTCTCTCAGTGTCCGCATTGTTGTCTAAGTTCTCCGGGATTGTGGTTTGTAGGCTGGCTTTTTTTTTTTTTTGCTTCATGTTTAAAAACCACCTATGAGTGAGTACATGTGGTAATAATTGTTTTTCTGTGTCTGGGTTACCTAACTCAAAATAATGTTTTCTAGCTCCACCATTTTCCTGCAAAATTCAAGCTGTCATTATTTTTTTCTGCTGTGTAGTACTCCATTGTGTAAATGTACCACTTTTTTCTTATCCATACTTCGATCGAGGGGCATTTAGGTTGTTTCCAGATTCTGGCTATGACAAACAAAGCTGCTAAGAACATAGTTAAGCACATGTTCTTGTGGCACTATTGAGCATCCTTTGGATATATACCCAAAAGTGGTATTACTGGGTCATGAGGAAGGTTGTTTACTAATTTTCTGAGAAATCGCCACACTGACATCCAAAGGGGTTGTATCAGCTTGCATTCCCACCA